ATCAATCCATCGCCATTTTAGTTTCACTTTTCCTCATTCCACCACACGTACGGGGAGAAACTTGTTATAGAAGTTAAAGTAAAGTCCAAAATAAAAAGCAAGCTTCCAAAGTTGGTTCGTCTGCTTACAAGTAAAACTCACAATTAACTTCAAGTTGCAGCGGTGGCGGCGGCTTCTAGCTTCGCCGAAGCGAAGGCGTAACCTTGGCTCTTTTATGACTCATGGACTTCAACTCCCAGAATTCCTGTGCCAGCTGTGCTGGCTCAGGAATTCTGCGAGTTGAAGTCCATGAGTCATAAAAGAGCCAAGGTTGCCTACCCCTGGTCTAAGGGCAGCCTTAGCAACAAAATTGCAAAACTGCAACTTTTCATCCTTTATCAGCTGATGACCTCACTATTCCATCTTCCTTTGCCTAATAATAGAATTAATCCCAGTTACACTGATAAGGACCAATCGTAGGATTTCCTGTCTTGTAGCCCCCAACTTGTATAAAAACCTTTGCTTTCCCATTGTTCAAAGTCCCTCTTTCTTGTAAAGCAGGCATCCATGCTTGGTTCTTCTCTTTAATGTTATGTTCCTTCTAGATGGGATCCGTGACAAAGTGTACTTTTAAAGACGATAAACTCTACAATCATATTAATGTTTCTCATATTGTCATATATAAAAGTGTACCATATCACTGCACTGAAAAAGTGGCAGGTGGCTTTGTTGAAAGGCTTCTGTGCATATGCTCGGAAGCGCTCTTGTTTAATAACTGCTAAGTGTGTGTAGCTCTATGCTTTTGAATTTCTTTGGGTGCTAGGGGGTGGGTCCGAGTGGTGTAAATATCCACTCTGTAGGAGCCAAGAAACTTTGTTCATAGCTGCTGATATAGTTTGCTGTTTCTATGTTTCACCAATTCTGTGTTCTATTATCTCTAGATGCCCTGTCCCTCTCCTTTTCTGAGTGGGAATATTCTGAGATAGGACTACAAAGTGAGCAAAAGGAATTTAAGATATATGTTTTCTTTATTGTGCTTGAAAACAGAATGTGGCTGCATCCTAAAGAATGGAAACTGAATTGCTGGTTTTGGCAGGACAGAATGCCTGGACAAGTTCTTGTAGTTTTCTTGGCAAGGTTAATTGGAAATAGTTTGCCATTGTCTGCTTCTAGGACTGAGAGAGAAGGATTGGGCCAAGGTCAATCAGCTGGCTTTGTGCCTAAGGTGGGATTAGAACTCTTGTCTCTTGGTTTCTAGCCTGATGCCTTAACCACAAACTGGCTCTTCCTATGAAATCTGAGGAACTTTCATTGGCGCAATAGAATAGGACCCAGTTTCCATTCAGGAGTGGTCTGCCACTCCTACACCCCCCCCCCCCGGTCTTAAGATATTGATCTGGATTTTTTTCTTTTTGTTTTGTAGATTTAATAGCAAAAGGATGTGTTGCATCTAACCAACCACAAATTTCACAATGTGTGCTGCTCTGAAGCGGTTGTGTTACATTGGATTCCATGTTCTTCAGGGTCAACAGCTGGCCAGTCACCTGGTACAAAGGTTTGGCTTTGAACTGTTTGCTATACGGGAAGCAGAGAGGAAGAGGCAGCAGGCTTTCCGAAGAGGAGATGCTATTTTTGTTGTCAATGAAGAGCAGGAGCTGACTGGGAAAAACTTTTCATCTTCAGATTTACCTTCAGACTGCTGTAAGCATAAAGGGATCCTGTATGATGTGAACCTGCAGTACAGAGTGAGTACAGCGTCCAATATTTGCTTTGAGGTAGACGATGTCCCTGGCATCTCCCGAAATCTACAAGAGAAAGGCTGCAAGATCCTTATTCCTCCCTCCACTGAAGCAGATGAAAATGGCTTTGTTACTTACTCTGTAGTGAGATCCATTGTGGGCAACGTATGCCATACTCTTCTTGACCGATCCCAGTATGGTGGGCCATTCTTGCCTGGTTTCTATGAAGTTGAAGTTGCTCCCAAGAAATGCCAGAAGGAGAAGGAGACCGTACATTTTGACCACATCACCTATGCCTGTCCGCAAGGTAGCTCACAGGCTGTGCTGGACTGGTACAAAAACTGTTTTGGTTTCCAGCGCTTCTTCATCCACCAGCAAGATGACGCTGTAGAAGGCTTTCGAATTCAGGGGGAAGACATAGGCCTTCGTCTTACCGCCATGCAATACAGTGATGATCGATTGTCACTCTTTGAGCATGACTGTAAATTTGTTCTGGCAGAGTCACTGCCAAGGCAAAGGATGGGCCAGGTGGACACTTTCTTACAGCAGCATGAAGGCGCTGGCATCCAGCATGTGGCCCTTTATATCACAGACATTGTAAGTACTGCTGCAGCCATGGCAAAGTCAGGAGTAAGCTTTTTCAAACCACCGGTATCATATTACAATGAGAAAAGCAAAGAGAAGGAGATACAGCAAGTTGGGCAAGATCTTCAGCTCCTGAAAGACTACGGCATCCTTCTTGATGCGACAATAGACGACGAAGGACAGGACGACAGCCCTAGCATGCTTGAGAAGCAATACCTGATGCAGATCTTCACTAAACCTCTTTTTACAGAAGAGACCTTTTTCATAGAGCTCATTGAACGCCATGGGGCTGCAGGTTTCGGCGAGAGAAATGTCCGTGCGCTTTGGAAGTCTGTACAGGATTATATGGATCGGCAGCAAGGACCCACTCTACTTGAGAACGAAGCATGACAAAATGTTTATTTTGTTCTGTTCAGAGGCGCATTGAACTGTGAGATGGGCCCAAACAAATTTGATAAATAAATTATAGCTAAACAATAATAGTGCTGCCTCAGATTTATTAACACAGGATTAATCCCCATGTTAGAACAAAGCATATGGACTGATTTGGTTTAAATATGTACTTTCAAAATTGATTTTGCAATCAGTGCTGGCTTGCATTAAAAAGTATCCAAGTGACCTGAAGGCCATCTGATGCATTATTTGATGAGAACTGAAACCTTACTAGCAAAGTTGTGACAATAACCACATCTGAAAGCATGTAGGTTTTTGCCTTGCTAGCTGAACTACTGAACTGGTAACTGATTTTTCTCTAACAAAACACAAAGGCCTGAAGGAATGGCTGTTATATTTTCCCTAGGAAGAGAGAAATGCTCTCTGTATTAGAATAAGTGACTGCTATCTGCAGAAAACCCCCCCCCCCCAGTTTTTGGGACCATGGAGTTCAAATCTGAAAAGGTACAAGATCCCTGTTGCTTAGCTACATTACTCTTAGTGAAGAAAATTACCAAGTTAGGTAACAAAAAATCTCAATGAAAACAACCAAGCTCTGAAGACACCAAGACCAAACTTTGGACTACATATTCTCTACTATTGGAAGAAAATCAGTTCTCCCTGTTCTTACTTACTTGCATCCATCAAATTTGGTGTTAACTGGACAAATAGGAGACAAGAGTATCAGTTAGCCACTGTCTCATGAACCAGGACATCTTTTTAAATTCCAGAACACAGAACCACAGGGAATCTTTAGCATGGATCCAAGCATCTATACTGATGGAAAGTAGCTACTGTACTATTTACACTCCTAAAAAGTGAAAAGAATCCGATTTACTCTTTAGCTAATAGGAAGAACTATGTATAAATGTTGTGATTCTCAAAACATATTGCTAATAAACCTTAATATACGTCAAAATTGGCTCAGTAGTTCTGTAGAAGGGCCCTTACTTGAGAATCCATTGAATATGAAGAGATTTACTTAATTCATTTCTTTAGATGTTACTGAAAAGTATCCATGGTTTAATTAATTTAGTGGTTACGTCTATTAATGAAGCGTCTGTCACATCCACTTGCTGTTACTGAATGCTACAGCTAGAAAAGTGGTGTTGAAGTGGTAACTGCTCTCCCTGTATGTTTTCCTGCTCACAAATATCTACCATAATCTATTTCTTCTCCAAATATAGTTCTATCTGTTGGATGTTCTTGAATAGCACAGTTACGTTTCTCCTTGCTAGAACAAGTGAAACAAATCACCTTACACTATATCTTGATTTAAGAATCAGGGGGATAAATTCACTTTTCAACACTTCACTCATAAATTTAGTAAGTTTTGGGAAAACAGCTAAAAATGGAAGCTCACTAAGTTTTTTTTAATAAACAATCATTAAAAGTTTTATTAGTGAAGCAATTATAAGTTATAAAACAAGACATTTCAAGCATTAAAATAGTTGATCATGCAGGAAAATGGCACGCAATACAATTGTAGAATGTAGGCAAACTGCAATTATTCAGTTACTTGTTCCCAAAAGAATCTGGATCTAATAATAAAAAAAAACCCTTTATCCTGTTTTTGCCACATTTCTTTTTTCACACACAAAAAAATGCTAGTTGATCTCTTTCTTTGGCACATCTATAGCTGCAACTCAGATTGGGGTTGGGCATGCAGTGCTAAGAGCAGTGCTTATTTAATAAGACATTTAGCAAATGAGTAGGAAATCAAATGACAACAGGATTATGTTTCACAGCACTGTCCTTCAGTATCTCACATACTGGGCAGACACATCTCACTTCATGGCTAGAGGACCCTGTTCCCAGGCCCTTCAAAAGATGATTGACCCAGATTTCAAAGTACTGTACAAGAATATTGGGAGTGCAAAGATGTACACTTTTCATGTTTTTTCTACACTGTGTCTGAACTTGCAGTCAGCTGTTGAGATCAGCTCTAAGAAACGAATGCAAAGAAAGCAGGTTCTTGGAAGAACTAGTCTGTTCTTTAGGCTTTAATTGGCTGGTCCTGAGAGAGTCCCGTTTCTTCTTCTTCACAGCCTGTACAATGATACAAAGGTAGAGATTTAACAGAAAAAACCCTGCAAACAGTCACCTATTTCATCCTCTCCCACCTGATCCTGTAAGCCAGTGTTCCCCAATCTTTCCGGGGTGGCAGCCGAGGGGGGGGGGAAAGAAGAGATGGTTTTGTGTGAAGGGCAGGTGGGTGCGTGCACATGCACAGATTCATTTGTGTGAGGGGTGGACACCTGTCGCTCACATGAGTAGGGCTGCAAGTGCCAGCATCCACCACTCGTGTGAGTGCAGCTATGAGCGCACCCACTGCTGACATTGCCTGGTTCTGAATGGGCCACGGCCAGGGGTTGGGGACCCCTGGTGAAAGCACTACTGTGATTAGTACTTTGGCCAACCACAAGTCACTGACCAATTTGGGGACTTACTTTAAAAAGGGGCAAGAGACTAAGAATAGGCAGCTAAACAAGGCATAAACAAAAGCTGCTTGGTTCTATGAAAAGATAAACTCACTTGGGCATCGTTGATTCTACAGCTCCATTTTTCATAAACTTTGAAGACCTAAAAAAGAACATAGAAACTATACTCAAATAACTGTAGGGCCATTTTGAATGTGGATAGTATGTGCCAATGCTCAGCCTACATATATATATATAGCAAGACTAAAAAAGGGCATGGGACTAAACAAGTTCTGTTCTCAGGAACCCTGTACATCTGTTTCCATTTTGTAGATGCTTACATGTAGTGCAGGAATATATTGAGAAATCAGTTAAATGTTTGCGAATGTATCAATGATTAGAAATCTTGACATAGCTACACATGAACTTATCAACTCTACTGCAGAACTTAGAGACATCTATGCGGCCCCAAGTTGTTACACTGACAGGCTGAGAGTCTGCACAGAGTTGGTTCTAATTCCACAGAGACATGGGGAGACAGGATGGCTCCTGTTTCTGTGCACCAAAGTCTTCTATCAACATTCCTTGGAAGCACATTGTCTGAACAATGAAGCAAATTGCATTCATGTGAAATGAAACAATTGCAACTTTTAAGTCTGCCCTCTGCCTTAAATCTCACTGGGTGTCTCTGGGCCAATCAGTATCTCAAGGGAGGAGGTTGGGATAGAAGAAAATGGACAACTGATTGCTACATAAGTTGTTACACATTCCTACAGGAAAGGCAAAATACAAACAAAACACATTTACCTACATATTGATTCCTCACATACCACTTTTTAGAGATTTGCAAAGAATCCACTGCGAAAGTGTTTAAACCTCAGATTTTCAGTACCTTTTTCATAGCTGTGGAAATGGCTGATATCTGCAATTCTGTTTTGGTCACCCATCGGGATGCTGGCAGTTCCACATTCCTATTCCAATTTTCTTCATCTTTGTCCACATTCAAAAAATAGATCACATATGTTTGGCGGATGTGGGAGAAGATATGGAGAACCTGGGGAGGGAAAGATGGATATATGGGTGGATGGATGGATCCTGTTAACTCAATATTATCATGGGCAGAAGGAAGACACTGAATGGCAGAGACAGAAGCTAAATGCCCCAAGGAGAGGGATCTTTGGAGTTCTTTTTTACTCTTCCCTGCTTTGAAACAAGGTGATGCAGGGATATGATAACTATTTAGGAGCAAAGATATGGAAAAAAATATTCTGCTGCATTGTTATAACAATTTGGATAATGGCTAAAATTGAAATTAAGATCAATATTTTTGCAATCTTGCAAGTTTTAAAAGTCTTAATAAGACAATAATAAACTGATAAGTTTTGATGCCCACATTTCTGGGGGAACTAATGTCATTGCTCTGTAGCTATCTGTTTGCAACCTTGGCTAATTTCAACATCAAACAACCATTTCCCAAATGTAATACATTCATCTTGGCTCCATGCAACTACTCTACTCTAAAACTTTACTATAATTATAAACAGCAATAGAAATTCTAATGCTAATGCTACCCCAAAATGAACTGGGCTGAAGATCCAAGACACAGCGAAAATATGGGAGAAACTTGTTGGAAAACCATCAGCTAACACTGGCTGATTATAAGAGCATTACCGATTCCTTTCTGGGATCCAATTTACCTCTCCAACATACTGTAGTTGCCTCGGTGCCAAGTCATTGCCAAGCGAGGCTAGAAGGTGATCTGCCAGAATCACTTTCTGTTGCTTTTCCTGTCCTTGTTCAAGGAGGATGCTAGGAAACTCCCACAGTCCAGCTAGCAGACCTAAAAGAAAATGTCTAATCAGTGCAATTTAATATAACACCATGGTTACATATGTGAACTTGAACTTTCTGCTTCAAAGAAAAAAAGCTACTGAAATGCTGCACACTTTCAGCTAAAACATTATCTCTACAGTAACTACCTTCGAGACCGCCTTCTGCCACAGATTACCTCCCATCGGA